TGGATCTTACGATCCATTTGAGTACAATCGATCCGGATCGTGTAAAAAACTCCTTATAGGTAGGATCTTTCGATCCTGGTAGTGGGATCTTATAGGATCGTGGAATCCCGATCCGAATCCGATCTAATTTATGACATATTTTGTTGTAAATTTTATATTTGTTGTCTAAATATCAATTTTTGTTGTCAAAATAAATAATAAAAATTAAGTAGTATTGAATCAAATAGACTAAGAAAAACAAACTAGGAAACAAACATTCAAATGTTGCGGTAATTTAAGAAAATTAAATAGTCGGAAAAACAAAATTAGCTTTAGCGGAGTCTAAGAAGGGTAAGATGATTGTAACTTTATCCTAATTTCTAGAGAAATTATTTTTGTGACTCGAATCCGCTCCACCAGGGATGCTAACGACAAACCTTATCATTCGACTAAGCTACTCTTTTGAGTTCTTAATCTATTTTCATATCCAATTTTGTTAAATATTTTTTCTTCACTTTTTATGCATTATTGTACATTGTAAAGTATTTTGTTATAAAACTCTTCTTCTTCTTCACCTTCTTTTTTGATAAAAAACAAAGCTTTTACCATCGAGTTTTCTATTGCATAATATTATATGTATATTTTACATGGAGTACTATATTTTTCACAATATCTTCACTTCTTTTTAATAAAATATAGGTTCATTTTGTGTATACTTTATAAGAAATATTTATTTAAATTAAATTATTATGTAATTTGTCTTTTTCGGTAGGATCTTACGATCCTCGATCCGATTCTACGATCCGATCCTATAAACACCTCCAACGATCCAACGTAGGATCCCGATTTTAACAACCTTGCATTTAATGCAAAAGTAAGGTATACACCAAAATTAAATGTCATTATATTAAATAAATTACAAACCAAAGCTTATTTTTAGAACCACGCTGTATAAAAAAAAGTACAATGAAACTTGCTTCACCTCTATATAGAGCTAACGTATGGATTGAGTATATACTTGATACCTCTAGGGTACGGTAAAATTAGAAAGAAAAAATTTGAGTACGCATTTCGTGTATCTGGTACATATGCAAAAGTAACCATACAAAGTACCAGTACCCAATAAGTACCCAATACGAGTATGGCATATTTATTGAAGTACCCATGCTTCATAGCTCGGAAGGGAACCATGACTTTTTCTAAGTGCTTAACAGCCATGAATTCTCCCAGTGTGTTGGTGATGACGATTTTACTGCCTTCCCTTCTAGATTCCAACCCTCAATTGTTTACAAATCAATATAATTAGTGTAAAATACGTGAAACCAGGGTTAGGTTAGAGAGAAAGAGACGAAAGAAGGAAGAGAAAAGATACTTAGACAAATAGGGTTTTGGGTTGTTAATAAAACCCTCCATCAGCAGCATATATTTATATGAACAACACCGAAAAATAAAAATAACATAAAAATTGCATACCATGGAAAATATATATATACACTTTATGTATAGAATTTCTATGTTTATATATTCATACTATTTTATTTAAAATTTGAATTTTCTCTGTTAGGAAAAAAAGCTTATTTGCAGCTTATTTAGCTTAAAATTTGAAATTAGATGTTTACAGTTGTACTTTAAAAAGTCAAGTTGTTTGTTAAAATATTTCAGGCTTCAGCTTATTTGCTTTTTGAGCGGAAAAAGTTAAAAATAAGCTCTAAAGGCTTACTTTCTTACAATTGGATTTGAGATGCACCAGGGAATGTCATGAAATCATCTATAACATCATAAATTTTACAAATCCATATCCTGGACAAATTCAACACAGTTTGTTATTTTTGTGGCCTCCCTAGGTTGTCTTGGGAAAACAAAAGCCTCACCTTATTCAAATCAAACTGATTATTACTGTTGGCATATTATAATCACCGAAAGGCACTTAGCATATTATATTAGCCGAAAGTCACTAGGGTCTGTAATCATTTTTATGCACTCAGGGATCATCTTGTAATTGTCTTCCTTGTAAACCTAATCTTCATTTATAAATAAGGGGTGATATCTCATCATACCCTAAGCTGGTTACTCAAGCTTCAAATTGTTGAGTACACTTCAGGTGTGCTATCATTATTAATCATGAATTTAAATAATAATTTTAAGAGTAATTCTCACAAGTAATATATTAAATAGCACAAGAATTAATAGCCCTGTATAGTAAATCCAATTTTTTTGAATTTTTACGGTTGTGTTTGAATGATAGATTTGAATATAGATTTGGAAAGGAAAAAAGAAAAAGTGTGTAAAATGTAGTTATATTTTGTCACATATATTTTCTCTTTCCTTTTTTAAATCTTCATCTAAGTTTATGATCCAAACACAGCTTAAAAGAAACTTTCATACTTTAGAAAGAACTAACTTTTGATCTTTTATAATTGAAAGGAAGAAAATTTTATGTAAAATGTACTTTAGATATATTAATTTAATACTTCTTTTAATTGCAAATTTAGCAATATAGTAAACAAAATTTTAATTTTTGGAAAAATAATGATTTGATAGTTTTAAAATACGTACTTCTCAATTGTCTGAAGCTTCTTTTCCTTTTTGGATACTTGGAAGTTAAAATGTGACTTATGCACTTAATGGAAGAAAAAGAGAGAAAAACAAAAGTATTCATATAAACAACATACCTTTTCAATTAGGTGCAGTATGGTTTGATTGAGGTCACTTATCCATAGCCAGTCTTCTCCTTCTCTGCCTGTGTACCACTTGCCTCTTCCCTTCTTCACAAATACATGTTGCAACATTGGGGTGCATATGACTCCAGGAGAGAAGGTCTTCATTTCAGGGCAATTGAGGACAGTGATGTTTTCTACCAGTGGCAATTCCCAAACATGAGTAACGTGGCAAAAACTCTTGAGCTCCGGTAGATCTTCGAGTTCCAAATACACCAATTTAGGCAATGGAGTTCTGTTTATCCTTCCTTCTTCTTTATCTTCCTCCTTTGCAACTACTTCTTCCATCATCGAGCATTTGTTTATGACTAGCACTTTTAGATGGACAAGATATCTGGCCATAAAAAGAGAGAACAGATTTTTCAAACTGCCACAATCTGAGACACATAGTTCAATTAGTTTGTTGAACGAGCCGGTCTGAAGTTGATTGCACCATATTTCGTTCATGCTCTGAAATCCATGGAGTTCCAATTCCTCCAAGCTAGGGAATGCAACCTGCAAACCAAACAATTGCATTAACAACCATACTACTAAAAGTAATATAAAATGTTTAAAAAGGAGATTTACTACTCTAGTGTCATTGGAGCATTCAACTTCTACCATTCACCTTTTCATTGAAGAGACTTTGTCCCGGGTTCTGGATGTGTTCAAATGATGTCGCCACAGTAGTAGTCACTTTGGGGAAGATACTCACAAGGTTTTGCAGATCATAAAGTCGCAGAATTTTTAATTGAGTGAACTCAATGTTATCTACCAAAATTTCACCATGGCTATCCTCCTCCCTAAAAATTGTTGACATCATTTTACATCCCCTTATTTTCAATTCTTGTAGTTGTAGGATACACTGTGTCATGGACTGTGAGAACAGAAATCTCAGGTTGTCAAAATCATCAATATGTAGAATACTTAATCGTGGAATGTACATAAATCCAATGGGATCTCTCTGTGAAATATGGTTCAATTGGGGTAGACTTTTTAATTTGAGAGATTTCAATAATAGGAATATCTTTGAGTTGTGTTCCGTATAGTCAAACACTTTCTCCAGCAAACTACAATCCTCAATAGATAGTTCTTCAAGATTTTGCAGCCTCTTAAGCAATTGTGCTTGAAAAACTTTGGGCAATTTGCTGCAATGCCGCACATGTACATATCTAAGTTTGGACAAGGACATCGATGAAGGTGGACAGTGTCCCATCCCTTCCAAATTGTCAAGATGCTCAAGTTCTAGCACCTCCAAAGTGGGGAATACGACCTGAAAAGAACTCATTCTTTTAGTTGTAGTATAATGATAGTAGGAATAGTTATGAGATATATACCTCTCTGTAATTTGTATGTGTTACCTAGAACTTTTTTAACCTTGAATTTCAAATTATTGGAATAAGATATGGTACCCCATTTCATTTTGTAACCTGAACCAAAACAAAAATTTAAAAAAAAAAAAAAAAAAAACATACAAATCATTGTAAAAGTTAAGTAGCTTTGGTTTCACCAGCATTCTACTTCTTCATTTTACCTTCTCATTGAATAGAGTTTGCTCGACATTTTGGAGGCATTCTGTTGATGTAGCCGAAGTAGCAATCACTTTGGGAAAGAAACTCACAAGGATCGGTAGATCATAAAGCCGCAAAATTTTCAATTGAGTGAACTCAATTTTATCCACCGAGCTTTTGCCCTGCCCTTTCTCATCTGCAACAATCCTTGACATCATTTTACATCTCCTTATGTCCAATTCTTGGAGTTGTAACATACACTTCATCATGGAATGTGGGAATAGATATCTCAAGTTATTACAGTCATGGACATGTAGAATATTTAATTGTGAAATGTACGTAAATCCAATGGGATCTCTCTTTGAAATATAATTCAATTGGGGTAGACGCTTTAATTTTAGAGATTTCAAGAGCGAGAGCATCTCTGATTCTTGTTCCTTACAGTCCCCCATTTCCAATCCAAACACGTTCTCTAGTAAACTGCAATTTTCTACAGTTAGATCTTCAAGATTTCGCAGCCTCGTAAGAAATTGTGATGGAAAAACATAGAGCCATTTGCCACAGTGTTCTACATGTACTTTTTTAAGTTTAGAAAAGGAACCCACTGAGATTGGAATGTGTTCCAGCCCTTCTAGATTGTTAAGATCCTTGAGTTCTAGCTCCTCCAAGCTAGGTAATGCAACCTGAAAATAAAACTTTTGTCAGTGGTGGTTATAAAATTTGTAGGAATGGTTATGGAATATCACTCTTTTTCTGTCTCTCCTCTTGTAGTCTGCATATATGACCAATAATTTTTACAACCAAAACGTTTAAAGGAATGAAATAAGATATGATTGGCTTTTTTTCATTTGGTTATTGAGATAAAAAATAAAAAATAAAAAAATACTAATCCTTGACAATGAAAAGAGAGCGAAGAGAAACAAATGATTGTGCCATTCAACTAAAAAAACTAACAATAGAATAAGCTACGTTCTAATAGTAAAATTTCCATCCATGACCATGAATAGTAACAAATTGAAACAAATAATAGAATACAAGTAACTTTATACAATATAAAAACATAACAAATAATACAGATAACAAATAGAATAGATAAATATTTGATAAAACTCAATTTAAAAACTATTTTTAAAATTTTGTAATGTAAATAATTTGGATGGTGCAAACTACGGAAATTTTGTAAATGCGAAATATTCAACTTATAATTATCGTCCTAATTACTAGTACAATATATATAATTTTTAGGGGGATTTACTTATAGGTCTTAATAGGTGAACTTATTGTCCATTAAGTCCTGTGAGAATTAATGACGTTTTTTATCAAATACTATTAAAAAAAGTCACTAATTGTTAATTTTCAGCAACAGTTTGAAAATTTTGTCACAAAAAAAAAGTAGCTAATTTTCAATTTTCAGCGACAGTTTAAAAAATTCGTCACAAAAAAAATTACTAATTATAAGTTTTAACGATAATTTATAAAAGCCGTAAAAAAAAAGTCACTAATTGTCAAATTTTAGTGACATGCAAAAATCGTCGCAAAAAATTATTTTTAATGACGATTTTATTAGGATTTATTTTAAATAGGACTTGATGAAAATTAATTGCAACTATCAGGACCTATTGATAATTTGCTGTAATTTTTAAAAACTTCTGGGGTGTGACCGCCCCAACCTGCACCCCTAGATCCATCCTTGGTAAGAAAATTTAGTAAGAAAATTAAAATTTTTAGATGCACCTAAAATGTAAATATTTGTGAAATATTTTTTAAAAATTCACTAAAGATGAGAAAAAACCAGTATTTTTTTGTTTTTTTTTGTTTTTTTTTTTTGTTTTTTTTTTGTCTTTAGTTAGTTTTTTTTAGATTTTTTCATAAATATTTACTTTTTAGATTCATCCAGAATAGATGTACCTATTGAGGAAGCCGTGTGGACATACCTTGTCGGGGAAAAGAGATAGGAAGGTAGCATTGTGGTTTTCCATTGACTCTGAAAACGGATTACTGCTATTGAGGAAGAGCCACTTGAGTTGTGGTAGTTTCCGAAGACACAATTTCTTCAATTGAGGGAACTCAATCTCGTCAGTCCCTCTGCAAAATCCAATGAGCATTGGTAGTCTCCACAAAGTCATGGATTCTAACGCTGGAAACTCCATCTTGTTTGTTGCATCATCTTCTCCTTTTTCCTTCCAAATAACTTCTTCCATTCTATCACAATTCGAGATTTTGAGATATTTTAGTTTTCCAAAAGAGCCGGTTGAAAGTTGGCAGTGACATATCTTTCTTAAATTGGGTAGATCATCAAGCTCTAATTCCTCCAGGATAGGAAAAATAGGAGGAATGGCATTAGGTGCACGCGGGACCCATTGCATTGTATTGACAAAACATTCTGGTGTAGCACACTTGTTAATTACTAGTTCCTTCAAGTGTTGGAGTCCTTCAACTCCCTCTCGAAACAACTCTTGCACTGCATCCTCCGAACCCTTCCCCATTAACTCTAGAACTGCAGTACTCCTTAACAACGAATTGATTCCTCCGCAATCTAATGGGATAATACATGTGTCATGAAGATGGAGACTCAAAAGCTTTCGGAGCCTAATTATGTATCCTTCATTGAAAACGACGCCGGAATCATAACCTATCAAAATTGAGTATTTTGTCAATTTGCTAAACAATGGGATTCTTGGCAAACACACGGCATCTTTTATATTAATCTCTAAAGTATTCAAATTGGACAAGGATTCAAACTCTCTTAAGCTCGCATTTTCTCCTCCTTCCTTGCCTTCTCGTTCCCAAATGATTTTGCAGCCACCCATGTATAACTCTTGTAATTGGACTAGGGCTGATATGACACCAGGTGCTATTCTTTTAAGGTCATGACATCTTGTCAGATCTAACAACTTTAAATTAACCAGTCCTCCTATTTCCTCAGGTAACTCCTCAATGTCGGATCGACGAAAGCTGAGGATTTCCAAATTCAGTAGCTTTCCAATTACAGATATATTATCGAACTTATGACTGTGATCAAGATGCAATGTCAACAGGTTTCTCAAGAATTGCAGTGATGACGGCAGTAACGAGATGTCTTCCGTGATTCTCAAGTCCAAAACTTTGAGTTCCCTCATGCCCTCAAAAAAATTGCTTGGTATTTTTAGCGAACTATACTCGCATCGTATTAGTAAAAACTCAAGTTTTGAGCATCTCAATCCTCCTGGAAACTCTTCAATTTCATTTGATATCACCGAAATGGAAGTGTTAAGCTCATAAGTCGGCTTCTTTGGCCACTCTCTCGATTTGGCACCATGGATTATCATAAAACCATGCTTATCTTTAGCTGCAATTGATATGGCGACATCGCGCACTACATCATGCATTTTTATTAGCAACTCGCGATCACCATCCAACAATAAATAACAACTTCTAAGTTGATCAACTAAGACATTCACTCGATCTCTTACTTCATCCACTTTGTCGATACCTTCAAACCACCGCAATCCGATTCCATATCTAACCAAATCTTCAATAGGAATTTCATAGTCTTCTGGAAACAAGCAACAGAGCAGAAACAGCTTCTTGGCTCTCTCACCTTGTAGAAAATTGTAACTAAAATATAGAGCTTGATACACTTTTGCAGGCACTTCTGACGACAAACTTTCTGAACAAGGGGTTCTTAGTTGTTGAAGTGCATTATTCCAATGATGTTGGTTGTGTTCGTTTGTAAGAGCCCTTCCAATAGTTATGAGGGCAAGTGGTAAACCTCCACATTCATTTACAATCTGTTTTGCTAGTGGTAGCAGATCAAGGTCGTCAGCACAATCGCCTACCTTCTCTCTAAAGAGATGCCATGGTTCTTCACCCACTAGGACTTCAAGTTGGATATACCTTTTATTTTGTATTCCTTTCCACATATTTCGATTTCGTGAAGTGAAAAGGATCTTACAACTCTTGTTGCTACCTCCTTCCAAAGGAAATCCCAACTCCTCTAGATCAAATTCTTCCCAAATGTCATCCAATATGACAAGAATTTTCTTATTGTCTAGCAGAAGTCTCTTGCGTAGGAGACTTGCTCTGGCGATCGGGCTCTCCCTGTCATCAAGTTTGAGATCCAACATGTCTGCAATACACCCTTGAACCTTAGTTAGGTCTGGCTCTTGCCTGACAACTGCCATTGGAAATTCATTGAAGAGATTTTTGGTTCTTTTTGCAACTTCTGTTGCCATTGTTGTCTTGCCTATTCCGCCCATCCCGCATATCCCAATCAAGTGGATCCCATCATCTTTCAAAGCCTCAATGATCTCGTTCATGACCAGAATTCGAGAATCAAACCCCTGGAATTCTGTTGTTGTAGGTATAGGTTCTATGCTTGGTGGTGGTGGATTGTAGGACGACTGAATGTAGTTGCTACCCTCAGCATGGAGAAGAGCAAGTTCCTGAGTCTTCTTCACAGCTTTCCTGCCCAGTGAGTAACGCAACTTGAGATTTGGACACCACCCATTGAAACACCCCTTTTGAACTTGGGCCTTGTCTTTAATAATTGTCTCTGCCTCTGCTGTGTTGCCATTTGCTTTAGTCAGCCATGCCTGAAGATGAGGTCCAACGGTTCTGACATTGTTGCGTGTTTCATCCACCCCTAGTTGAACCCCTTCTCTTGTCACTTTTAGGCTATCCAATTGAGTCTCAAGATTTTGAATGTTGGTGTTGAAGCAAAACAGATAACCAAACTGTCTGCCGATCGGAGCAACCAAGTACTCTCCAATTCCCCCCAGAGCTTTCCCCAAAAAGGAGAGACCAACTCCTTCAGCCATTTCTCACTTTTTTCTCTTTGCCTCCGTTTGGCAAGTTGGGTTAGAGGCTTTTTTGGCTATTTTAGCCACAAAAGACAAAATAGACTATTTTAGTCACAAAAAACAAAACATCACATCCAACCCATAATCATTAAAAAAAGTCAAAAAAGTCAAAAAGTCAAAAAGTCAAAAAATCATTCCCAAACCAAACTTTTTAACCCAGACTAAAATAATAAAAAAAATTAAAAAACCAAAAAACTAACCCACTTCCCAAACCAACCATTACTTTCTTAACAAAGCCTAAAACTAGTTCAACTCAACATATTTGTAGTCCTGTGCCAAAACATTTGCGCAATCCACTTAGCCTGTGTTTGGCAAGTGAATTTGCAGGCTTTTTTGGCTATTTTAGCCACAAAAAACAAAATAGGCTATTTTAGCCATAACAAACAAAACATCACATCCAACCCATAATAATTACATTCTTCTCTCACAAAAAAACTCAAAAAAGTCAAAAAGCCAAAAAGCCCTTTCCAAACCAAGCTTTTAAGACCAGGCTAAAAGAGCCAAAAAAATCAAAAAGCCAAAAAACCAACCCACTTCCCAAACCAAGCCTTTCTAATTTTTGGGCTTTTTTCTTGACTTTTTTTTTATTTTTTTATTTTTTTATTTTCTTAAGAAATTATAAGGAAACACAAGATGAAAATGCCAAAAAAACAAGAAGAACGAAAGCAAAGATAGTACAAGAATCAAAAAGAGACAGCAAGACTGAAAGCAAAGAAGCAAAGACAGTACAAGAATCAAAAGGGCTTTTTTCTGAACTTTTTTTTTTTATTATTCTTAAGAAATTAAAAGGAAACACAAGATGAAAAGGCCAAAAAAAACAAGAAGAATGAAAGCAAAGAAGCAAAGGGAATACAAGAATCAAAAGGAGACGGCAAGAATGAAAGCAAAACAGTACAGCCGGAATAAAAGGGAAATGGAGGTGAGAAAGTAAATGAAAGCTCTGTTTTCAAGTTGAGTTACCTTGCTTGGTCTGGAATATGAAGAGGGAGATCTGAAAAAGCGTACACACTGGAATCAAATTTCACCGCAGGTATAGAGCCTTCACCCAAGCAAATTTCAGCAGTCACACTAGTTTGAGAGAGACAGAGAGAGAGAGAGGAAACTAATCACCAATGTCCCAAGTTGGTCAACGTAGAAATAATCAGTTGGACCTCCCTTGCATTCGAAAATAATATTAAAAAAAGACCTCCTTTATTTACTCCCTCCGTCCTATAATAATGGTCCTTTTTGAGAAATTTAACTTTTTTTGATAGTATAATTATTGTATTTGAAAAAAATTGATTTTTTAAAATTATCCTTTTGATAGTACATTTTTTGAAAATATCAATGTCATAATTGTACTTTTTATATTGTTTATTAATTTAAAAGAAGGGCAAAATAAGAAATTTATATTATTTTTGTACTTGATTTTTGAAGAGAGACTAATATTTTGGGACAATAAAAAATGAAATAAGAGACTAATATTTTGGGACAGATGAAGTATTTATTTATTCTGAAATCTTATTAGTTAATCAATTGGTGCAATATATTTGTGCGGTTTGGTGAATTTGTTAAAAGTTCACCTATGAAAATTTTTGTAATATAATAAAAAAGTGATATGATTCAAATAAGATAAAATAATAATTTAAAGAAATCACTCCAAACAATTCCTAAAAGTATTTCTCACTAGCTTTTAAAAATAACCTTATTTAAAATCCGCTTATTAAACAGTCTTGCACATATTCCTAGAATAAAAAAATGCATAATTACCCTTATAGGTTTGGAATTGCAATTACCTCATTTTCTCAAAAAAATTTTAATTTAACAAAATTTATAGAAAAATAAAATTATTAAATATTTTCTTATACAATAATAAAATTACATAAATTATTAATTTAAATATATTTATGACATCATTAAAAATAATTAATTAACTTAATAATTTATTAATAAAATAGAGCATTTGTTATTTAATTAGAAACTTGAGAGGGTGAGATGTAGAATCACGAACCAATCTATATTTTAAGCAAATCTCAAATAATATATTTATTATTTACCAAAACATTATTACTAGCACAAATAAATTATACTAAATAACCTCAGCTCAGCAGATGTAAATTATGCCATCCACGTTTAACCCCCTAAATTATTATTTCATTTGATCATATCCATCCATTTTAAGGAATAATCCTTGTGTGATTTTGGTATCTTCTTCCAATCTTACAATAGAGGTTATGAATTCAGTAAACATATGGGGGCATTGTGGGTGATCTTTTTTTTCTTTCCCCTTAATCTATGAAAGAGTAAATCCTAATGTGTGTAAAAAAAAATAAGAGTGATGTTATTAGCATCTTATTTATTATTTTGGAACTCTATTTCTTTAGACTTTTATTTATAAATTTTAAAATTCTTAAAATTTATTTCTTCTCTCAAAATTATATCAAAATTATCCTTATGAAAATTTCACACCTGCTAAAATGCACACCATCATACCCCTAAAAATCATTATCTCCCAAAACCCTAAAAGTTAAGACAAAAACCTAATGAAAAGCCCCATCGATCACACACATTCTCTCTCATGGTGGACAAAAAACAAGTTTCTCAAATGAAGAGGACCTCTATTATTTACCTTTTTGGTAAATTAAATTTATTTGCATATAATTGAATTATTATTTCACAATTCTTCTTCTTCTTCTTCTTCTTCTTCTTCTTCTTCTTCTGTGGCCAAGGGCCTCTCTTCTATGCTCTCTTCTGTAATTAGGGATTTCGATTCTAGAGCTGAAGATATCGTTTGTAGCCAAGGTCAGCTTCTTCTTTTTTTTCTTTTCCCCCTTCAAAGCGTATCAAATTTCCTTACTTGAACCTGTGTTGCCAATTAATTAACATGCAACATCCCCAAATATTTAACATTTGACAATCAAGATTAACTCATCAACGCGTGTAACACCCCACACATATAATTCCCAATAAACAATTAAAAGAACATTCTCCACATAAACACATGACACAATCCCATGCAAATGTTTCTCTTTCTCATTGAACTACAGATTTTGTTTACAAAATTACAAAATACTTATCTCGATTCAATGAGCTAGAGAAGACTACAAAACAATTACATTGTCCTCGAAGTTACTAATTACATTGTGACATTTAATACAAAAATTCAAAATTCAAAATAAAAGTAGAAAAGGAGTTCATAATTACATTACAATTTCAAGTTCACAAAAATTTAGATTTTTTAAAAGAGGTAGTCATTTTCTTCTTCTTCATTGATGGTTGTGGGACTCTTCATTTCCTGAAATATTAGTAAATAGGAATAAGTAATTTCCCAATAGAGAATAACTTTAACAAAGTATACAAACATTTGGTTTAAATATGCATGACCTTTATTAATGCCCATGAATTTCCATTGGTTTAGAAATTATTACACAACACACAATTTACCATTCAATCTCCACATTTTTCCGTCCTTACACGGATAACTAGTGGACACCTCAAACCTTCCACTTTCTTCGTCCTCGCAAGAATCAGCTAGTGGACACCTCACAACATCCCCATATTTGTTGCCCTCATGTGAACCGAGCAAGTGGGCACCTCAAACACATTCCAAAATATTAACATTTTAAACACAACACAAATAATCACAAGGACTCCCCAATGTTACTTATTCATTAACCGTTATGTCAAAATAAAAACAACCCTTAGGGTTACATATGAAAATTTGGGATTTTTCCTTTCAACTATTTATTTTCCTTGATTCAAGTATATTTACTCATTATTTCATAATTGATTCCACAACTCACCATCAATTTCACACAAACACTTCATCAACACAAAGCCCAATATATATATATATATATATATACCACATCCATCTCAATAGTTCCACATCACACACATTTAAGCCAAAATATAAATATACAAGGGTAAAGGTATTCCTACCTCAAGGTTGCACGAAGAGAGATGAAGGTCCACACGATGAGCTTCTGAAAAAAACACAATCTAATCGGTTCAAAATGTAGCTCTTGATGAGGATAACAACTTTAATGAAGGCCCAAATATCAATTCTTGCTCTTACTAGATGAAATATAGTGTGTTCTAGCTAGGGTTTTGGAAAGAGGGCTATTAGAGAGAGAAGGAGTGTGAGAGAAATAAGTTAGAAAAGTGTTTGGATCGCAATATAACCCAGCCGCCCCGACCAGACCGCTCGAGCAAAGTTTCCACAGCTCGAGTGGTGAACGCAAGGTCTCAGAAGTTTTGTAGAGCTACAGTGAAAATACTGGAAGCTCGCATTTTATGAGCGAGCAACCATTCCTTCGCTAGAGAAAAAACAGCTGTTACAGCCTACCTCCCTTAAGGAATTTCATCCCCAAAACTTCATGGTTCCTGCCAAAACAACTCCAACAATTCCTAGAAAAAATGAATATCACAATAACAATAGTTTTAATCTTTACCACTTCTCAAACTAAAATGAAATCAAAGTTAACTTCAAACAACAACATAGAAATTTAGATTTCTTTCTTTTACCCCCATTTTACAACCTTCCCCTACAATGATCTAAGATTAACAAACAAGCAAGTTTACATGTCATTAAATAAATCGAGGTATTTCTCACAAACTTCAATTTCTCGTTCCTAAGTGGCCTCTTCCACCCCGTGGTGATGACATAACACTTTAACTAAAGGAAGGACTTTGCCTCTCAAAATTTGTTCCCGGGTGTCCAAGATCTTCATCGGTCTCTCTTCACATAAAGCATTATTGTCCACCTCTAAATTTGTCCAATCCAAGACATGGGAAGGGTCAGGTTCATACTTGCGAAACATGGAGACATGAAACACATCGTGCACTCCGGATAATTGTGGTGGCAATGCAAGGCGATAAGCTACCTCTCTCACCCGTTTTATAATGTCAAATGGGCCAATGAACCTAGGTGACAATTTTCTGCTTCGACCAAATCTCATTAAACATTTTCTAGGTGATATCTTCAAAAATACATGATCACCCACATCAAAAGATAGGGGTCTTCTCCTCTATTCTGCATAGCTTTTTTGTTGACTCTAAGCTGTTACTAACCATTTCCAAATGAGAGCTATTTTCTCAATGGTCTCACGAACCAATTTCGGTCCAAGCATAGGTGAATCCCCCACCTCAGTCCAACACACCGGTGACCTACATGGTCGCCCATACAAAGCTTCAAAAAGAGCCATCCCAATGCTAGCTTGATAACTATTATTGTAGGCAAATTCTGCTAAAGATAGGTGTCTCTCCCAAGAACCTTTAAAATCTAGTACACAAGCTCTCAACATATCTTCTAAAGATTTGGATAGTGCGCTCAAACAGTCCATTGGTTTGTAGGTGGTAGGCGGTGGTAAAAGTTAACTGAGTGCCCATAACAGTTTATAGGTTTTGCCACAACTGTGCGGTAAAACAAGGGTCTCGATTCGAGACAATACTTACTGTAACTAGTTTTTCGAGCTCCTCAGAGGGGCTTAGTCTCCTCGGGTACGATAGCCCTATAGTTCAGACTCCTATGGTTATGAATCTAGTTTCACAAGTGCAATGTGAAATAGAAAAATGAATGAGAGTCTAAATTCGACAAATCCTAGAAAATCCATTAATCATCAAAGATGCCAAAAAATGGACTGCATTGCTAGATTTCAGAGTCGTCACCTAAATATTTGTGAAAAATTTAAGAAACCCGCGACTCGTGCCAAAGGCCACTTGTCCGTCGTAACCAAAGTTGTCTTAGCTCAAGAAATTAGGTATGAGAAGCAAAGGTCATGAATTGAGCACCCCACTCACCCAATCAAAGATTGGCCTCTAATAATCACGATGTGAATTTTATCAACATTATATACTCTTGTTCTAATTATTAATATGCTAACTTACTATGTCAGGCACACGAGTATAGACTGTTTCGCTTGCTTTGGAAATAACTTGATTTTATGTGATTCTTTTAAAAGAGTTTTGAGTGCACACAACTCAAAAGGAAAGAAATGAGCTCGCAAAAACATTTGATCAAAATCATCCACAATGCAAGTAAAATAACCTTCATCCACAGGCATTCAAAGAAGTATTTCAAATAAGCACGTAGCCTCATGGTAAGATGCTAAGCCTGGCAACAATCACACATACGAATATGCTAAAGCTAA